TTTTATTTTATTATTGTCTAGGTATGGGTGTTTTACCTGCATGTATGTCTGTGTCCCACATGAGTGCAGTGCCTATGGACCGCAGAAGACACCATCAAATCCTCTGGTCCTGGAGTTAAAAATGGTTGTGAGCTACCATGCGGGTGCTGGGAATTGAGCTGAGGTTCTCTGGAAGAGCAGCTAGTGCTCTTAATTACTGAACCATCTCTCCAGTCCTAAATACGATTTTAAATACAACACACACACACACACACACACACACACACACACACACACACACACACACACACACAATGTCCCAGAAATATGGGGTAGACATGATTTTTCAAATAGGTGCCAACAAATGTTTCTCCAAGAATATGCAATTCTAAAGTCCCAGAAATATGGGGTAGACATGACTTTTCAAATAGGTGCCAACAAATGTTTCTCCAAGAATATGCAATTCTAAATCTTTAGATCAAGGGGTGGAAAGCTCCATTCCATTGTCCCCTTTCATAACCCAGGCAGTTGGACAGTTCTAAGAGTCTATATGACTTGCCAAGAGACTCTCCCATAGCCTGAGTTATATAGCTGAGACTAAACATGAATATCTGATCCTCCTGTCTCAACTCCCAAAGGCTGGGATTCATGTTATGCATCATCAGATACAGGTAAGCATTAATTTAAAAACTGTTTCATAACACATTTCCCCTTTTTTATATCTCAGTGTTTTAACAGAATCTGCTGCATCTTGCCAGTGGGAACATTTCATATTCAAATCATAACACCATCTAAATTAGGGAACATAAAATGTGTCCTGTAAAAGACAGGACCTACTAGTAAAAACTCTGCACTTGGCAAGTCATATAGACCCTTAGAACTGTTCAACTGCCTGTGTTATGAAAGGTGTGTGTTCCTATGCCTGGTGGGACTATACTATGGTTTAATTTCCGTTTTCTTGGGCACTACTGTTAACACTAAAGGGGATGTTCTTAAAAATTGAGTAACTTACATATTTTAACACACACCTTTAATCCCAGCACTCAGGAGGCAGAGGCAAGCAGATCTCTGTAAGTTCAAAGCCAGCCTGGTATGTACAAAGAGAATTCCAGGACAGCCAGGGTTGTTACACAGAGAAACCTTGTCTGAAAAAACAAAACCCAAAATGCATGGCTTAGCCTTTAATCCCAGCAGTTGGGTGGGTGGTGGCAGCAGCTGGGTCTCTGTGAGTTCCAGTTCCAGATCATCCAGAGCTACACAGTGAGACCATGTCTCAATAAATAGATGACAGATAGATAGACAGATGCATAGACCAATAGATATAGATAGATACAGAGATATATATACATAGATATAGATAGATGATAGATAAAGATACACAGATATAAATGCATAGATAGATAGATAGATAGATAGATAGATAGATAGATAGATAGATAGATAGATTCCACATAGTGTGGCTATGGCTGCCTGGACAAGACCTAAGGAAGATCTGGCCTTTCAACATTCCATCAGGATGGGGAAGAAACTCTTGAAGCCTCACCCCTCTTTGGGGAGCTATTGGCAATCAATGGCTAGGGGAGAGTTTTTCAGTGGTATAGGCAATGGTAAGTGGCCCGTGCTCAAGTAAATAACCTCTCACCATGCTCATGTAAGCAAGCCTAATTCAACTGAGTCACACAAATAAAAGAATGTAAGTACACGGGAGATTAGCTGGGAAGAAGAGGGTCTGGCAGGGAGGTGAAAAGAGATTGAGGATGGATAATACATTATATGTTATGAACTTGTCAAAATATAATTTAAAAATGCTCTCTTAGGTCTAATACATAGACGGGCTTAAGTAATGACCCTGTCACTATATATTTTAATATTGAAATACTATACTAGAGACTGGAGAGATGGCTCAGCAGTTAAGAGCACTGGTTGCTTTCTCAGAGGACCCAGTTCAATTCCTAACACCCACATGGCAGCTCACAACTGTCTATGACTCAAGACCCAGGGGATCCAACGCTGTCTTCTGCCCTCCTCCACAGGGACCAGGCACACATATGGTGCACAGATTATACTTTCAGACAAACACTCATACATGTGAAAATAAATAAAATCTCAAAGAAATAATATGCTATAATCTACAATATAATTTCCTTCTTTTTTTTTCTAATAGGAGAGTCAAAACTATGAAGGTCTGCCCTGTGTCCTTTCATCCAAGAGAGACCTACTCTCAAACATTTCCAGTCTCCCGCTCCTATTTCGGCTTTACGACTGAAAAATTAATTCACTTCACCTTAACATACAAGCCATGAAGTCAGGTGACTCCCTAAACTTGTTAATACAAATGCTTTCAGCTTCTGATGGAGATATTTTAAGGTTGTTGTTTTGTTTTTGTTTTTGTTTTTTTTTTTTTGTCAAAGCAAAGGAAGTAAAGGCAGCATATTCTAAACCCCATCGTATCTGGGCATATTTCAACACCCCTGAGACAGCCATTGGCAAAAAGTAACTTCTAAAACACCCGAGCAGCAAAATGCAGCTCAGCTTCCTTGCCTCTTCCTCCCAGTGCACTTCTTAACCAGAAAAACCACAATGATGTGAATGCAAGGTGCCTGTCTCCAAGGAATACGATGCAATAATCGTATGTCTCCAACTCAATTATGCTAGAATTCATCTTAATTACACATTCAATCCTGCCTCAATTAAAAGACTCACCTAGCTTGAATCTTGTGTTGCCTATAATTCTACTTGTGTTATTTTGAGAAATATAAAGTAATAAATCTTCTAAAGCAATATGGTGTTTTCTTATTATGCAGGTATGAGAGACCCACACGTGGTCCTCCCAGGGTAGTCTTCACCGTTTGCAGAGGACCAGGACACAGCATTTTGTGTCCCTGTTTCCCCTTCCCAGGCTTGGAGCAGTCAGCATGTGAGAAAGGAGACCCTGATTACACACCCAGTCACTTGACAGGAGGGAAGGCAATATCCGTCTTCATATATTTCTGTTTCTCTTTAGTGCCCTGAAGCCTGAGTCTGACAGAAGGGGCGGCACTATCCGTCTTCATATATTTCTGTTTCTCTTTAGTGCCCTGAAGCCTGAGTAAGGACTTGGCATTTGCCTCCTTTTCCAAGTATCACTGTGAGAATTTCCTGGGTTCTCTTTCAATCTTCCTCCTCTGGCTTTCACAGGCACTTATTAACCTTCTTGGAGTTTCTCCAGGCACACCCAGTAACTCCTACGGAACTAAGGATCTTCTTAGAAGGCAGAAAGCTGCACCCACGGCAGCCCCTTTATTGAGGTACAATACAGACACAGCCACTGTTATCTGTAAGGCCAATATCATGAGATCCTTTTTCCATCCGCAATTCCAGAAATGTATGGAACTATTAGAAAACATTGTTGTTTTTTTAATATAAAGTTGAGGTTTTTATTCAATCCATTATTCCCTTTATTAGAACTCAGTTCTCTGATTTTTATGTTTACTTTTAACAAAAACAGCAAATGACCGTCCACATTCCCCAAAGTGTTTGTCATGTTGCTTTTTACAGCTCTGTGCTTGTTTTGCACCAATCTCTTTTCACAAAAGGAAACCTTGTTCTTGAGAAAATATGAGGACTCCATAATGGTTTGTGGACTGCAGCTGGACACGTTTTGGCCCTGAAAAGGACAAGTTTAGCTTATTTGGGGAACAGGACAGAAAACGTTTCTTGAAAACATAGTACCTACAGTGGAGTCTGGCAAAAGGGCGGAGCTCCGTTACACTGAACAAGGCAACTAAAGTAAAAGCAAGAAATGAGGACGGCTGTGCTGTGGAGGGAAGAAGACAAGGGACATCTGCAGTGGGGAGAACGATGAAGTAGTGAGATAGCTAGGAACTGGGAGAGTCCACATGAAAGCTTTGACCATACCATGAAACCCAGGGGTGCATCCGCACCCTTTCTAGAAGTTAGGGTAACCTGAAACATCTATTTCACGCAGGGATTCTTATGGCCTCAGAGGAAGGTATGAACTTAGCCTCTTCTTGATTTTCCTCCACTTTCCAGAAAAGTGAAGGGTGAAGCACGAAGCCTCCCTTTATAAGAGAGGTACCATGGAGAGATTTTGGCCTTCTCCATGTTGTGCAGATGACCATTTTCTCCAAGAGATACCAGAAAGAGACCTGTACATATCCTGTCACCTAATTTATAAAAAGCAAAGAACTTCTGTAGTACTATTAATGTACCACTTCTTTCCCTCTTTCTTTGTTTTTTTTTGTTTGTTTGTTTTTTGTTTTTGTTTTTGTTTTTGTTTTTGAGACAGGGACTGTCTGCATAGTCATGGCTGTCCTGGAACTCACTGGGTAGACCGGGCTGGCCTTGAACTCACAGAGATCTGCCTGCATCTGCCTCGAGTGCTGAGATTAAAGACAGGCACCACCACACCTGACTTAATGTACCACCTCTTGATCTGGATCCTAGTTACATCAGTGTTGGGCTTGTGAAAACTTAATGAGCTATCCACTTACGTATGTGTACTTTGCTGTCTTTATGTAACACTTCAAATTTTTAGATTTATTTCTTTTATTCTATGTGTATTAGTGTTTTTCCTCCTTGTAGTGTGTGCACAATGTGTGTTTGGTGCCGTAAGAGGTCAGATGATATGACAGATTGCCTGGAATTGGAGTCACAGACAGTTGTGAGCTACCATGTGGGTGCTGGGAATTAAACCCAGGTCCTCTACAACACCAGTAAGTACATGCTCTTAATCACTGAGCCATCTCTCTAACCTCAAGTGCAAATTAAAAGGCTGCTTTTGGGGCTGGAAGATAGCTAAGTGGGTAAGATCACTTACTACCAACTCTGGAGACCAAAATGGTGGAAGGATAGAACTGATGCCCGAAAGTTGTCCTCTGAACAGCACACAAGCTTACACACACACACACACACACACACACACACACACACACACGTGCACGCATGTGTGTGCACCCATGCATGAGGGGATAAGGAAAAGTTTTCTATTGTAGCTTTCAATCCCATCAAAAGAATTCAACGGCGGCCCTTATCAAGGCTGCAGTTGCTTTTACATAGCTGGTGTGGTCAGAAAGCAGCCCAACTAACAATTTTCCTTAACTGTTGTGGTTCCCTTTGCAGTACCACATCTGTAAGATCTTGGGAAAAGACAGTTCCATCTTGACATTTCTGAGAAGTAAGCAGAGATCTTTGGTTTTCGCTGTTCTTTTTCTTTTTTATTAAAAATTATTTTGCAATTTATGTACCAACCCCAGTTCCCCCTCCCTCCCCTTCTCCTGCCCCTACCTCCCCCCCCATTCACAGCCCCCATCTACTCCTCTGAAGGGGTAATGCCTCCCTTGGGGATTCCACAAAGTCTGGCATACCAATTTGAGGCAGAACCAAGCCCCTCCCCCCTGTATCAAGGCTGAATAAGGTATCTCACCAAAGGGAATGTGCTCCAAAAAGTCAGTTCATGCACCGGGGATAGGTCCTGGCGCCACTGCCAGGGCCTCCCCTCAACAGGTCAAGCCACATAACTGTAGGGAGACACCCTAGACCCGCCTCAGGCAACCGATGCAGGTGTGCCAGGTGTACCGGGACACGCCCATGAGGACTGGGTGAAGGGAAGTCAGGGGTGATGTAAGGGAAGGTTCTTAATGGCTGCACGTGGAGACCCTGGCCCTTCTCTCTTCTGCTCCCCTGGCTACCGGCACTGGTTCCAGCTCCCTCCCTCTCGCTTGATTGGTGTATCTCAATAAAGAAAACCTTAGCACTATTGGCTGCGGGCTGTTCACTCTTCACATAACTGTTACCCACATTCAGAGGGCCTAGTTCAGTCTCATACAGGTTCCCCAGCTGTAAGTCCATACTTCCTAAGCTCCCACTAGTTCAGGTCAGCTGTCTCTTTGGTTTTTCCCATCATGCTCTTGACTTGCTCCTATGATCCCTCCTCCCTCTCTTCAACTGAACTCCAGGAGCTCAGCCCAGTGCTTGGCTGTGGATCACTGCATCTGCTTCCATTAGGTACTGGATATAGGTTCTATCATGACAATTAGGGCAGTCACTAATCTGATTATAGGGGAAGGCCCATTCAGACACCCACTCCACTATTAGCTAGGGTCATCCTTGTGGATTCCTGAGAATTCCAAAGAGCTTTGTTAACACAGGAACTGGCCTCAGCTTGTCAGCTTTGGTGGAAACACCTTTATCTGCTGAACCATTTTCTCAGCACCATTTGCCTTTTTTGTTGTTATTGTTTTGTTTTGTGAAACAAGGTTTCTCTGTGAAGCAGTCCTGGAGCTCTCTCTCTGGAGACCAGGCTGGCCTTGAACTCACAGAGATCCACCTGCCTCTGCCTCCTGGGTGCTGGGATTAAAGGTGTGCATCACCACCATCTTGCCTATTTGCCTTTTTGAAACATCTAGATACTACCTATTTTCCCCTACTCTTGAAAAATGCTGACATTTTGCTTTATTGTATTTTGAGACAGAATCTCAGGTAGCCCCAAGCTTGCATTGAACTCACTATGTAGTTAATAATAACCTTGAACTTGTGATGTCCCTTCCTTTGCCTGCTATATGCTGTCTCATGCCACCATGCCCAATTTCTATGGGGTTGGGTATCCAACCCAGGACCTCATGCATGTTAAGAAAGCACTGTACCAATGAACAACATTTCTAAGCCCATCTGACATCTTTTCTCAGGTCCCTTATTTTTCCATTCTTTTTCCTGCCCATACACTTTAAGGCACTTGAAAACTATTGGCTAGTTGATCTTTTCTATTCCAGAGTTGAAACGAGTACCTCAGGATCCTTTACTTAAATCACAGTATTTTTACCCTCATTATTCACCAAAAACAACTATAACAATTGCACTAAGTAAAAGATGTAATTAGCTGGGTGATGTTGAGGCACGCCTTTAATCCCAGCACTCGGGAAGCAGAGGCAGGCGGATCTCTGTGAGTTCGAAGCCAGCCTGGTCTCCAGAGAGAGTGCCAGGACAGCCTCCAAAGCTACACAGAGAAATCCTGTCTCGAAAAAACAACAAAAAACAAAATGTAACTTAAAGCCAGGTGGTGGTGATGAACGCCTTTAATCCCAGCACTTGGGAGGCAGAGGCAGGTGGATCTCGGTGAGTTCGAGTTCAGTCTGGTCTACTAGAGCTAGTTCCAGGACAGCCTCCAAAGCCACAGAGAAACCCTGTCTCGAAAAACAACAGCAAAGATGTAACCTACGTATTTAGAAGTCTCACTCTTGGGGCTGGAGAGATGGTTCAGGGGGTAAAAGCACTTGTGGCAAAGGACTAGGATTAATTTCTCAGAACCCACATGGCAGTTCACAACCATCTGTAACTCCAGCTTCTGACTACCATATACACCAGGTATCCACATGGTGCACATACATACAAACAGGCAAAAAATTCATACACCTAAAATAAAATCCGCCGGCCTCTGCCTCCTGATTGCTGGAATTAAAGGCCTGCGCCAACACCACCAGGCATAAAATATTTAAAAAAAATCTTTAAAAGTATTTTACAATCTAGAGCCAGCAAGATGGCTCATCAGGTAAAGGCACTAACCACCAAGCTTGATGGCCTCAGTTCAATCTCTGAAACCCACATGGTAGAAAGAGAGCTGCCACAAATTGTCCTCTGATCTTTACATACAAGCCATACTACACACACACACACACACACACACACACACACACACACACAATCCAAAGCCATACTATACACACACACACACACACACACACACAATGTAAAGAAAAAAAACCTTGCCACTCTCCAAATGTTTCCTCTTCACCAACTGAGAAACTCCTCATTATAGGGAATACATACTTTGTAAAGTCCTTGGTACTGACTTGTTATGATTTCCCTGATGAAGTCACTGATCTTGAGTTGAATGCCTTCGCAGATAACCAATGATTGTGTTTGAAAGATATCTTGGGAGTGAGTAATGATCATGTATTGCTTAGCTGTGTTTAGAACTCTGCAACTCAAGACTGACTGAAATCAATAAATAGTGGAAAGAAAGGGTATTGTGGTATGCAGACTGTTCACATGTTATAGTGTGTTGGTGCTCCTTTGCCATTAATCTTACTGAAGGGACTTGGAGATTTGATTGTTTTCTGTCTCTGAAATCCTACTCACCTAGAGAACTATCACCAAATAGTGAGCTGCATGGCTCCAACATATCATATGTGCCTCTGGAAAATGAGGGGCACAGACAATGGCAACACAAAGATATATTAAAAAATACATAATGTAACTTGTCTTAATATACTTTTCTGAGTCTAAAAATATGCCAGACCAAAAGAAACATATTTACATAAAAAGCAGACAAGGTCAAATAACAAAGAAAGCCCTTAATTAGTTGTAATCAACTTTAATTTGCATACCGTATATAATTCCTAAATGATTGTTAATAATAACTTTATATAATGGACTTCCAATTTTCATGAAAATGGCACATTTTGATAAGCAGACACAAAACCCTAGTACTAATAAGGTTTAATTTGCATACATTAGACTGATTATCCAAACAAAAGGATTACAGTATTACTTCTCCATACCTTTATGTCCTTATTATGCACATTTATTAACTTCACAAAAGCTAGCTGTTAGTGACAAACAATGGCCATGGTTGAAAGAGAAATCTACAGAATGAATAAAGTACATTTTAATGCTAAGGAGCAAAGTTTATACATCATAGATGCCAAATTTAACTGTTTGTTGGTTAAAAGGGCCAGAATTTCTCAAAGAGAGTTTCATCCTTTGAACAAAACAGCTTGTTTTTGTAACCTGAAAAAATGCCCTAACACATCACTTGATTTTAATAATGAACTTATCTCAAGCTAAGAAGCCTCCTCGACACCGCAGTATGCTAAGAATTCATGAACAGCCACAGAATTAAGCTTTAAATGTGTGGTTCTAGGGTGCAGCGTTAATAAATATATTTCAACAAGCTTAGTTTTCAGCCGAGTAAATAATAATATAGGTGGCATTAGTATTGATATCGGTTCCTAATGGTATCATTTATACCCTGCAATTAAAGTTTAAGCACTAAATAAAGCATTATTAGGAGATCTGGGTTGGCTTTTCTTATATGTGAACACAAATGAAGCTCATGAGTGTTTGGATAAGAGCCAAAAAACTTGAAACTTAACCACAAGCTACTTCCGGGGGCTTTCCTAGTGTTTTTGCTACTTGGCAAGATACAGAATTAGAACACCAGGAAATGATTTCCAAAGAAGGCAGAGGAAAATGGAAGCCCCAGGAATTGAACTTAACTCCATGGTGTTTAATTCTGACCTCTGACACATAATGTCAAAGATAAGAGCCATCTGCTAGGACTTTGCCTGTCGGAATATCCAGTGAGATTTTTACTAGCATTGTGCTAAGTAAAAAGAGAGGGCTGGCAAGGGAAGGCAGCTCATGAACTGTTGTTATGCCTTGTTCTGTGTTCCAAAATACTACCACCAAGACTTGAATGTAAGACACCCTTATACTGACAACCGCATATGGAACAGGATGCTCTAAAATCCCTATGACATGTCCATAGCCTGGAAAACCCAAGATTCAAGTAAAACATTCAATGTTCACTGTCAAATACTTGCGTAAGAAATACTAGATCAGAGATGACCACTCTCACATGTGGCTTCCCTCCTCTAAGTTTCTCAATTGGTCAGAATCAAGTACTCTAGGTACTGGAGTCTAGGAGACATTTGGTATAAATCAATCTTCAACCAGTGTAAGAAGGAAGGCTACAGGGCCAGTTCAGCAGATAAAGGCACTTGACACACAAGCATGGCAACCTAAGTTAGATCCCTAGAAACCATATAAAGGTGGATGGAGATAACCAACTTCAGAAGGTATTCCTCTGATCTCCACATGCATGCCATGCCATATGCAACCACATATATGCATCAAGCATGAGTATGTGCTGTGTGCGTGCACACGTGCACACTTCCTCCCCCCTACACACACACACACACACACACACACACATTTTTTTTAAGAATGGAAGGTTAATGGAAAGTCCTGCTCCCCTAGTCCAGTGGTGCACACCAATAGTGACAGCACTTGGGCAACTAAGATAGGAGGATCATTTGAGCCCAGAACTCAAAGACCATACTGAGCGACACAAGACCAGATTCAAAGTGCTTGTAT